TTGAAATTCTTGAAAGGGTGGGTGAAGTAGCCTACATGCTTGCATTACCACCTAGTATATCAGCAGTTCATACGGTGTTCCATATGTCTATGCTCCAAAAATATCATGGTGATCCGTCCCATGTGTTAGATTTCAGCTCAGTCCAATTGGACAAAGATTTGACTTACGAGGAGGAGCCGGTGGCTATTCTAGCACGGCAGGTCCGACAGTTGACGTCTAAGAGTTATCCTTCAGTTCGGGTGCAATGGGGTGGTCACCCGGTAGAGGCATCTACCTGGGAGTCCGAGTCAGACATGCGGAGTAAATATCCACACCTTTTCTCCAGCTCGGGTACTTTTTCTAACTCCGTTCGAGGACGGACGTTTGTTTTAGAGGTAGACAATGTAATGACCCAAAATGTCATCTTTAAATTTAATAAGTAATTTTGTGTTGTAAGGCCTCAAAAAGTACCATTTATCATTTCTCGACTTGCGTGCACAATCCGTAAAATTTTCCAGAAAGTTATCAAGTGAAAAATGGATTAAAATATGAAATAGAGCTTTAAAACTCAACTGAGTTGACTTTGGTCAATAGTTTTAGCAAACGGACCCTGATCAGTGTTTTGACAGTTCCGGTAGCTCCGTATTGTGATTTGGGACTTGAGTGTATGCCCGAAATTTAATTTGGAGGTTCCTAGCTCAAGTTATGACCTTTTAACGGAACTACCAATTTAAAGGCTAATGATTTCCAAGTTTGACCACGGGCTTGACTTTTTGATATAGGAGCCGGAATCCGATTCTAAAAATTTGAATAGCTCCATTATGTCCTTTATGACTTGTGTACCAAATTTGAAGTCATTACGGATTCATTTAATATATTTTGGCACGAGATTTGCAAATGAAAAAGTTTAAAACTCAACGTTTGAATCGGGGTGTGAATTGTAATTTCAGTGTTGTTTGACGTGATACAAGACCCCGAGTAAGTCCGTATTATATTATTGGACTTGTTGGTATATTCGTACAAGGTCCTGAGTACCCCAAAAGTAATACGGATTGAAATCGGATCAAGAATTGGACTTAAGCATAATCTCAATTTTTCCTTTTGTTGTAATCGCACCTGCGGATTTTTGCCCGCAGAAGCGAGCCTTCCATCGCAGATGCGCCCAGGCGTGTCTAGGCTTCGATCGTAGAAGCGTGTCCGCAGATGCGCAGCAAATCACGCATATGCGGGACTGAGCTGGCCTGGGGTCTTCGCAGGTGCGGCCATTTTGCGCAGAAGCGGATGTCGCAGGTGCGACAGGAGTGTTCGCAGATGCGGAACTTCACCCGGCAGTCTGTCATCGCAAATGCAAGTTTTGTCTCACAAATGCGAGTCCGCAAATGCGGAACTTTTATCCGCAGATGCGAAAATGACTGGCCAGAGCCCATAAATTCGGAAGTCACCATTTTTACTCATTTTTGAGTTTTAAGTCTCGAATTTGGGCGATTTCAAAGGGGATTTTCACGACTTTGAATTGGGTAAGTATTCTTTAACCAGAAGTGATTATATTTTACAAATCTATATCTATATTCATCATTTATTTCGGATTTAGATGGAAGAAATTGGAAGTTTTGTAAAACTTTCCAAAAAAACAAAAATTTAGATTTGAAGGTCCATTTGACATCGGAATTGGATAATTTTTGTATGGTTGAACTCGTAGCGGAACGGGTGTTTGAATTTCGCGAGTTTTTCCGGGATTTGAGATGTGGGTCCCACTGTCGAATATTTTAATAAATTTCAAATTTTTATCCGAAAAAATAGTAAATTCATATGGAATTAATTCCTATAATTAGTATTGAATATATCGAATTGTTTGTGAATAGATTTGAAGCTTTTGGAGATGAATTTAAAAGGAAAAGTTGTGGTTGAGTAATTGATTGGAATTTGCAAAGCCAGGTAAGTGTCGTGGTTAATCTTGACTTGAGGGAATATAACCCTTAAATTAATTGTTATGTGAATTGCATGTGAACGATGTATAGGCGAGGTGACGAGTGCCTATACGTCGTCAAATTAATTATTTATATAATTATGTGAAAATCCTAAATTTGTTTTAATACATAAATTAATGTTATAATAATTATTTCTCTCCTATTCTTTGCCAAATGTTAATTCTTAAATTCCTGTAATAATTGCTACATGCTTATTTGAATTATGTGCACTAACTGCTACTTGACATTTAGCATATTAAATATTAAACTGTCTATTTTCTCCCTGATTTCCAAAATAAATTATTATTGCCATTGTTCGTTCATAAATAAATTATAATTATTGTGTGCCTTGATGCTTAATAGTTTCTCATTGGACGTGGTATTTATTGGAGTAATTTTTATTTACATTATGAGATGTTTAAAGTTATATATATTGGGGGAACGGGTTGCACGCCGCAACGAAAATGAAGGTAAATATATCTATATTGGGGGGATCGGATTGCACGCCGCAATAGACTTATTTAAAAGTCAATATTGGGGGATCGGATTGCA